CCCCGGGGCACCACCACCACACTGAACTGCGGTCTGTTCTTTAGCCTACGCTCAGGTTCCTCACTGGCTTCCCACTAAAGACAAAATAGGAGATCACAAAAATGTCCATATTTTACTAGATATCTGGAAAGCAGGCAGAAAGTTCAACAAAACCAAGCTGACAGTTTTGCCTGAAACCCAACAGTAGAAGGACTGAGCAGAGCAAAGCAGGACCTGGTTTCCCTCTGAGCTATTTTCTGAAAATGGGCCAGGACCCAAATTCACCTGCACCCGGCTCGCCGGCCGGCAGCCCACATCTCAGCCAGCCCGGGGCACTGAGCGGAGGCTGGGGAGGTCCGGGCCCCACTAGGGCGAGCTCTGGGGCCCCAGGGGTGTGTGTGTGTGTTGGGGTGGTGGCACGTGGAGCCTCAACAGGCCCAGGGGAACTGCCAGACCCCCACCTCCTCCCCAGGCAGACCGAGGAAGGTAAAAAGAGGCTGTAGGACCTGCACACACTCTTATCCCGCCCACCATGAACATCATCTTTTCTGCATGGCTAATCCTCCCGCTCAGTCCACCCCCCTTCTCCCCTAAGGCAGAATAAGCCATCCCTCCACTGTGTTCCAGAACATTCTGGTGCTTCCCAAGCTGTTGCCTCTGCTCCCTGTGTACTCCTTGGGGGATAAAGCTGTTGATCCCCAGGTCTGGCGGGGTGTCTGGCACGTGGTAGGTGTGATGTGAATAAACGTTTGTCATATTGAGTCGAATAGTAATGAAGGAACCAGATGGAACATACCCCTCAGACATCTAAGAATAACTCGGTAGCCCAGCCAAATTAAATGGTGCCCTGAGGCCACAGAATGTGTTTTTGTCCTCGGCTCCTACACGCTGCCACCTGCCACGCTAGATCAAGTGCATCTCAGCGATGGCTCCTCACAGGCCCCCAGAGATGTGTCCCTCTGCTCCCCACCCGCAAGCCATGGCCCTGAAACAAATGGCAGCCGATTCCTCGGGACACCAGTCATCTCTTTATTCCATCAGTGACCAACACAACCGCACCCCAGACACAGCAGGGGCCTGCCTGAGAACCCCGGGCCAGGCGAAGAGGGTGGTGGAGGGGGCCCCGTGCCGGGAAGCCCGCCCTCCCTGCCTCCCCAGCACCCAGGGGAGAAATGATCGTGCAGACAGTGATGCAATCCGTGTCAGCGCCCACCCTTCCTCCAAGCACCAGGGCCGCATGGGGGGGGGGGGGGGGACGTGTTCCAGCGCAGGGCCAGGGAGGGCCTTGGGGTGACTGAGAGTGGACTCTGACCTTGAGGAGGGACTGTGTGCATGCCTGTGCATGCGTGTGAATGTGTGCATGTGTGTGTGTTTGGGGGATGCCTACACTACGGAGCATGTGGGATTTGAAGGCTGAGCCACAGGACCTGCCTGGGGCCAAGGAGACCAGGAACCAGGGCTGTGGGACCTGGAACAGGGGCCTGGGGCGCAGGGCACCCTCCTCACTGCTTCGCCTTGGAGAGGAGCGGGGGCAGGCCGGTCTTGGAGCCTGGCTGGAGGGCCGCCTCTGGCCTGACCCACCTCATGTGTAGGCCATCTTGCTGCACACCCAGGGCCGGGTCATCAGACACTCCGTTGACACCAGCCTGGTGGGCTCCACGAAGACACACTCTCCCAGGCCTGAGATGGGGAATCTGTGGCCAGAAGACAAGAGAGCAGGCGCTTACAACCTGGCATGCATAGCCCGTTGCTGGGTGGCCCTGGAGGCCCGGTGACCTGTCCCTCCCTCTGGAGTCACCTTCCACTACTTTTAGCCCTTATAGAACTTTCTAGTGTGGCTCCCCCCATTGTCTACCTACTGTGTGCACCACGGCTCCAGCCACCCTGAGGATGCCTACAGACACACCCTGCACTTTCCCATCCTGCTTCTGCATCCTTCCAGAGTTAGCTCACTTGTCCCATGAGCCAGAATCCGGTTCAGGACCACCCTCTGCCCAGCCTCCCTCCCCGCAACACCTGCCTGCACCGTGGGACATGGAGGCCTGTGTCTGTCTGTCCCTGCCCGTCCCCCAGGCAGTCAGCACCAGCACAGTGGGCTCCGTGGCCCTCTCATCTTGGCTCCCCTGATGAGCACACAGTTCTAGCACAGGAAGAGCCCAGCGGAGATGAGCTAAATGAAACTACCTCGCAAGGGTGGACCTGATTCACCCCGGCGTTTGGTGCCCAGGCTGTGTTGCCCAAAAATTCACAGACATCATCAGTAGATGTGGGGGGTGGGGGTTCTTTCTACCTAAAATCATTCCTTTTGAATTTTAAGATTTCTTCTCAACCTCGTTTGGTCACCCAGATCTGAGGCCCCTGCCAAAGCTAGTGCTGGGGTCTCACAAGAGAGGGTACCAGAATGACCTCAAGAGGGGGTGCCAGGCAGGACTACCTCAGTGCCAGAGAAACATGGCCTAAAGGCCCAATGGCTGGCAGATGGTCAGCACGCTGGGGACCCCAGCCTCCAGGGCTCTCCCAGGTTCTGGGAGCAGGAAGCTTCCAGAAGAGGGGAGAGAGAGACAGAAAGTGCAAGATTTCTCAGCAGCTCTAAGGATAGATCTGGGATGAAGGCAGGAAAAGGATAGAGAAAAAACGGAAGAGACAATGAAGACAAAGAGGGGGTATAAAATGAAGGGCACAGGAGCCAGGGCAAAGGAAGGAAGGAGCTGACAGAATGCTCGCCTCCTGGAGGCTAAGCCCTAAGCCTGCCTCGAATGGGAAGGTGGCTGATCGCCAACTTCCGGCCATGGTGGAGGGCTGGGGGTCTTGGGTGCCTCCCACTTCTCCTGCCTAGGGGACCCTCCTGCATCATCATCATCATCAGGTGAGCAGCTGTGCCCCCACCCGGCTCCTCAGGGCCTATTCCTCCAGCCTTAGGGGCTGGACTAGAAACTGAGGTTCTTATTCCCCTGTATGCCCTCCCCTGTGCTCCCCTAAGCCTGGACTACCTCCCCCCCCCCCCCCCCACACACACACACTATCACCACCCCCCAACACTGCCACAGCCAGACACTCCCACCCCCACCACCCATGACCCCTGCCACCAGCACCCAACAAACCAGTCCCTGATATCGCACACCTGCCGCCCCAGTACACTCTCACGTGCACACCCCTTGGGTCACACAAGCAATCCCACCACTTCACACACGGCCAGCACCCTCAGGCACTGTTTGTTCTAAGGGCGTGCTCACAGCACCCTGGGGTCAGAGCCCCTTTCTTCCACAGGAACAATGTTTAGGCAACACATGGCTGCCCAGAATAGAGACCCCATCCCCACTCTCCCCTGCGGGCAGTGTGGTCGAGTGGCTAAGTTCTGGCCAATGCAGAGGGACATCCAGACCATGTCTTCCCCTTCCTCTGAGCCACACTGAGCCCCACAGATGAGCCGCTACCCAGGTGGGGAGCCACAAGATGGAAAGAGCCTGGGCCCCACAGCAGGAAGCTCTGATGACTACATACAGTAGAGCTGCCAAACCAGGCTGGACATTAGGGGAGAGAGAGAGAAGTAAAGCCCTCTTCATTATTATTATCTTGGTCACACGCTGCTGACCCTGGAGGTTAGGAACTCTAGCTATCACAGAACTCAGTGGTTCTCCCTCAGGAGGCTGTGTCTGGGGGCGGGGGGGGGCTAGACCTTCCCCAGTTTAAGTCCAGTGGCCAGAAGATGAAGCCTCAGCTCACGTGTCCGGGTCAAATGGGTCCCCGTTGACCCAGTGGAATTCGTCCCCAACTCTGCGCAGACCAATCCAGGGCTCCCTCCGTGTGAACTTGAACATAAACTCCTGTATCAAGGAAAGAGGGAAACCCGAGTCATCTGCAGTTTCCTGACTGTTCATACATCCCAAGACTAACCTCAGCTGAGAAGACTGGCTCCCAGGATATACAGACGCTGAAAGGGGGATCCCTCACTGCATCCTGCAAGTAAGGAGCTGGGGTCACAGAGCGCCCTGCACTCTCGCTGACATCCCTCCCAGCAGTTGGGAGCATGCCCGCTGGACGAGGAAGCCTAGAACAAGGTTTGTCCTCCTAGCTCAGTGGTCCAGCCCGCCAGTCAGTATTCCTGATTTGCAGGAAGCCTGGGATTGCCCAATGTGATGGATGGTCTGGGACAAATCACAACGTTCAGTTTGGGTGTCCTTCTACCCCCATACTTCTGGGCCTTTCTCTGCAGCAAGGAGATACTGTACTGTGTATCAAAGACAAACAGAAGTGATTTTTCGATTACCTGCTATTTTGGATTGCCACACCACTGTTAGCCCCAAATCCAAAACGGACAACAGACTCATTCATTGTGTTTCTTTCATTTTTCTACTGAGAAAACTGTTTTGGGTGTTCATCGAGAGCTCATGCCCTGATTTGGACGAGTAGAAGGTGCCAGTGTGTTCTTCCTTCACAAGAGCATTTATAATTTGTAATTCTCGCACTGTGATACTGAGTTGAGCTCAGCAAACCAGCCTCAGCTTGAAATCCATTGGCCTTCACCACAGCAGTGGAAACAGGAGCCACTCGGAAACGTGCTCGCACCCCACAGGGCCCATCAGCACACCCCCGGCTGGAAACAGGTCATGGGGGCCGCCACACCCCAGGAGTGGGGTTCTCCCTGGAGGTCGCCCGCGGCCCAGCGCTCACCAGCTCCTTCTGGCTCTGGATCACGGCCAGCGCGGCCTCGTGAGTATGGCAATACTGTCTGCCTGTGTTCCAGTCCCTCGGCTCCTCAGAAAAGAAGTAGCATTTCCTTCCGTAGAGCAGCCAGTCCTCCGGGCAGGGCGCCTCGCACTTGATACAGCCCTTGGAAGCTGCAGGGGAGACGGAGGGGACTCAGCGTCTGACAGCAGGCCTGGCCCCTGCTCGGGCCTCAAGAGTCCTGCTCAGCAACCCAGCGTGCCCTCCACCTGCCTGACTTCGGTGCCCTCCGGGGTGCCTCGGGTGGCCCTCTCCCCAGATGAGCCCCTCTCACGGTGCCCAGCAGGGAAAAGGGTGGTGACCCAATAAACAGGGAAGGGAAATTGGGGAGGCTGGCAAGGGCATGACCACCAGGAGAAGTGCCAGCAGATTAGCCCCTGGGGTCAGAGCTCGTCTCTCTCCCCAAACTCCCTGAGGCATGGAAGCCCAGAAACACAGATTTAGAAAAGATCTGGAGGCCACGTGTCCAAGCTTCTCCATCCTGCCTGACTCACTGCAGTGTGTCCACACGGGCACCCAAATGCTGGCCCCAGAACAGACTGGAACGCACCAGATGTGGCCCCACTCCCAGCAACAGTGATGGCCACACTCCTTCCAGGGGCCACGGGCTTTGCAGTCTACAGACTGCTTCCAGGAAAGGAATCAGTGCGTATGTGCATACGTGCGCTTTCCTCGGCAGGCAGAACATGCCCTTCGCTTGTTTTCATGTCATCTATTTCCAAGCCGGGTCTCCCCTGTGTCCAGAATATGTATCAATCACCTTTTAAATCCATTTGAAGATCTTATTTTTATTTCTTCCACCTTTATCTCATTCACATTGGCTCATCTGAGTTTCTTTTTTTTTTTTAAGATTTTATTTATTTATTTTTTAATTTTTATTTATTTATTTTTTAAAGATTTTATTTATTTGAGAGAGAGAATGAGATAGAGAGAGCATGAGAGGCGGGAGGGTCAGAGGGAGAAGCAGACTCCCTGC